GAGGCCCATCGATGATTGATCAAGTCCTTGTCACTGTACCTGGCGAACCAATGCAGAAGAAATTGCGTCTTGAGCCTATAACTTTTGATGATTCCGATTTGGAATGAGTTCAAGTCCCCCACCAAGATCCTTTAGTCATTAACGCAGGAATTGATGAGCCCTGCTATAACGTAAAGAGGATCCTGATCGACAATGGGAGCTCTGTTGATGTCTTGTTCTATACAACTTTTCTCAGTTTGGGATTGACAAGGGAGATACTTCAACCTGCATCCGGACCATTATATGGTTTTGATAATCGACCAGTGAGGGTTGAGGGAACAATAAATCTTCCGGTTGTCTTGGGAGATTTTCCTCGACAGATAATCCACTCAGTTCAGTTCATCGTTGTCAAATCAGAATCAGCGTATAATGTTATCTTCAGGAGATCGTGACTTCTGTAACACACTTGAAGATCAAGTTTCCAACCCCAGCAAGGATCGGCATCGTACGAGGTGATCAACAGATAACACAATCATGCTACCTCAGACAAGCTCAACCACGCCCGTCAATGACACTTAGCATTGAAAACTTCGATCTTCGAGATGAAGATGTATCTCAACGGGCTTCTCCCATGGAAGACTTGGTTCAAATCCCACTCTCTGACGAACATCCCTCGAGAACAGTGCAGCTTGGTTCCCTACTCTCCGATGAGAAAATGTCAGAGCAAGTAGATCTTCTCCGAAGGAATCAAGACATTTTTGCATGGACTCCAGCCGACATGTCTGGAGTTAATCCAGAAATAATCATGCACTCTTTGAAGGTAGACCCGACCTTTAAACCGGTTATCCAGAAGAAGCGCAGTTTTGCCCGACCGCTTACAAGCTATTGAATAAGAAGTCAACAAGCTTCTCGAAGCAAAGTTCATACGAGAAGTACACCATCCTGCATTGGCCAATGTCGTCATGGTGAAAAAAGCTAATGGTTCATGGAGAATGTGCGTCGACTATACAGACCTCAACAAAGCTTGCCCGAAGGATAGTTTTCCCCTCCCGCGCATAGATCAACTCGTTGATGTCACGTCTGGACATCAAATGCTAAGCTTTATGGATGCATACTCAGGAGACAATCAAATGAAGATGAACTCATTGGACGAGGAGGTCACCTCTTTTCAAACAGATAAAGAACTTATACTGTTATCAGGTTATGTCATTCGGGTTAAAAAATGCTGGTGCAACTTATCAACGACTCATGAACAAGGTCTTCAAAAACCTTCTCGGGCGTACAATGTTTATGTTGATGACATGTTAGTAAAAAGCTTGGAAGCATCCCAACACATTTCTCATCTGGAGGAGTGTTTCCAACTCCTTCGTCAGTATGACTTACGACTTAACCCGACTAAATGTGCTTTCGGGTTCACATCAGGGAAGTTTCTGGGATTTATGGTTATACATCGTGGGATTTAAGCAAACCCAGAAAAAATCAAGGCGTTGAAAGAGATCGTACCTCCAAAGAACATCAAGGAGGTGCAACGATTGAATGGTCGTATAGCCGCCCTATCCCGGTTCTTAGCTCGTTCTGGAGATAAGTATATGTCGTTCTTCAAAATCCTAAGAGGAGCACGGAACACAGGTTTTCAATGGACAGATAACTGTCAGATTGCTTTCGAACAACTTAAGGCATATCTGGCTTCACCGCCCCTTCTCTCAAAATCCATCCAAGGGGAAATGTTATTTATCTATTTAGCTATTTCACCCCATGCAATAAACTTTGTCTTAATCAGAATAGAAAACACAATCGAGAAACCAATATATTACGTAAGTAAAGCTCTCTTTAATACAGAAAATCACTATCCGATGGCGGACAAGACTGCACTAGCCCTGGTATTCTCAGCAAGGAGACTTCGTCCTTACTTCCAGGCTCACACTATTGGCGTTTACACGCAACTCCCTTTGAAGGCAATCCTACAAAAACCAGAAACATCAGGAAGATTAGTTAAATGGTCAGTAGAATTGGGAGAATTTGACATTCATTATTTACTGCGACCAAACATCAAATCACAGGTGTTGGCCGACTTTGTGGTAGAATGTACAGTGTCTATCGCTGATGAACCACCCTCTTCTCTTCCACAGTCACCTCAGTGGACACTATATGTAGAAGGAGCATCTGGAAACTCAGGGGCTGGTGCAGGAATACTACTCATCTCCCCAAAGAAAGACATTTTGGAGTACGGACTTCGTTTGAAATTCTCGGCCACCAATAATGTTGCTGAATATGAAGCGCTTGTCGCCGGATTAAAGCTTGTCATCAACTGCGAAGTACGAAATATGATTATATACACTGATTCGCAACTTATTGCATCTCAAGTAGAAGGAGAATTTGACACTCATAACTTACAACTAGTGCAGTATCTCAGTCTGGTAAAAACACTTCTCGCCCAAATTGAAACATGTCAGCTCATTCATATACTTTGAGAGCATAACACCCGAGCTGACGCCCTCTTCAAGTTTGCGACTTCAACAACTGGAGATCTCCATAAAAGAAGGTATATTGAGGAGATACATTTTCCTAGCATCCATGGCCGTGGGAGATACTATTTATAGATGACCCAAGGGAGCCATCTTGGATGGATCCCATCATCTCTTTCCTCCAAGACGGAACACTGTCAGATGATGCTACTACATCAATTCGCATCTGACGCATGGCTGCCGACTTCATCCTTATCGGGGATGAACTGTATAAGAAGGCATTTGTAGGTCTGTATCTCAAGTGTCTTCCTCCATCTGAAGTTGATTATGCTCTACGAGAAGTTCATTCCGGAATATGTGGGGAGCATCTTGGTGGCAGGGCACTTGCTCTTAAAATAATGAGGCAAGGCTTCTACTG